TAATTCCTTATTTTCCACCCAGATCAGTGATCTGTCTAAATGTATGAATTATACAGCAAGTCCTGATGACCAAAAGTCTAGATTATTTTTACCCTAAAGAAAATCTGTGTACTCACTAAATAGGCTAGGGGCCGATAAGATACTGTGGTAATATATAATAAAAATATAAGTGACAGTGTTGACTGAAGCTTTCTAAGCTGTTAATTACATCAACAACTTTTGTGTTTCAGGAAGTTATGAAAGAATATGCCGGTACATAGCCAGAAAATCTGATTCAGTGGTTGTGTCTGTTGGGTAAGTGAAATTCAACCAGCGCTAATCCCAGAATTAGAGAACTCTGCTGCTTTCCCCCTGCCTCCCACACACCCCTGAACTTACATTTCTTTGAAAAGAAAAGAAACTCAGCTCTAGTGCTGCCTTCCCCTCACTGCTGTTATGGGGGAGCAAGTGCATGCCCTGGAATGGCAATGGAAATACCTGAGCCAGGGTTAGAGTTACAGGCTTGGTCATTGAACCTCACTATCAGCACAGAAATCATTACCTCTGCTTGATAATAAGAAAGTATAAGCCAAATATCAGATTTTAATATTTTAATATATATAGAATATATTTAAATATATGAAATACGTTAATATTTCATGTTTTTATTTAAAATAATCTGGGATGATTTTAAAGAGTAAATAATGAGTCTAAAATTTAGCATTTTTTAAAACCAGCATGGACCACTGTTTCCTACAAAGATGTTTTGATTATGGAAAATACATGATGGTATAAAGAAACCTTAATTTCCAACAAATTTTTCCATGAAAAAGTTTACTATTAAGGGATTTTATTAAATTGGGAGGAATTGGTTTTGAGAAGGGAGGAAAAGTTGTTCTGGTTTTCTTCAGCATACAAAAACTTTAAGCTAGATATAATTAATGCTGTAATTAATATTGGTTTGGGGCAATTTTTGCATGGGATGTATCTCAGATGAGACACTCAGAATGTGTAACACCAGCTGCTTTTTCCACCTCTCAGGTATCATCTGGCACCTGAGCACAAGTATCCAGCCCAGGTTCTGGAGTGTCTCACTGCCACCGTGCACTTCCTGAAGACTGCAGAGAGCCATGGGGTGGACCCCGCTCGGATCATTGTTTGTGGGGACAGTGCAGGGGGCACGTTTGCTGCCAGTGTTTGCCAAGATCTGGGGCACAGGACAGATATCCCAAAGATTCGTGCCCAGGTGCTGATCTATCCCTATCTCCAAGCACTGAACTTCAATCTGCCATCTCACCAGAAAAACGCTGCCGTTGCCTTCCTGTCCCGGGAGCGCACAGTCCGTTTCATTCTCAAATACCTGAATAAGGACTGCTCCCTGGGGAAACCAGTTCTGGCTGGTTCTCATGTTCCTGAGAGTATAAATTCGAAATATAGGAAATGGATAAGTCCAGATTTAATTCCAGACGAGTTTAAACTGGGCTATAAACCACCACACCCCACTTTGTTTTTACCTCAAGTCCATGAAGAAGTGCATGAACTGTTGGAACCCCAGATCTCCCCGCTGCTGGCAGAGGATGCTGTGGTTTGTGGTCTCCCTGACACCTGTATTGTCACCTGTGAGCATGATGTGCTCAGGGATGAAGGGCTGTTGTACAAGAAACGCTTAGAGGACAACAACGTACGTGTGACCTGGCACCACGTGGAAAAAGGCTTTCATGGTTCACTGGGGTTTTTTGGATATGGTTTTTTCTCTTTCCCATCATCAAGTATTGTGATGAACCATGCTATAGACTTTATAAAAGGCTATTAAATAATTTTCTTGCATACACTGAAATGGTATTTAGAAAGAGTGTGATTCAATTAAATTATTCAATTAAGTATTTACCAGCTATTTGCCCATTAGAATCAAGGCAAGAACTTATGACATTAGCATGGTCTGCTGAATTTTGGTTTTTACTTGCTGTTACTTAGAAACGTGATGTTTAGAGGTTTTTTGTAAGCTTGCTTTGATGCTCTCTTCTTGCATTGTAAGAATTTTTGTTCTCTTCATATGTCAAAGAATAAAAACTCATTTTAACAAAAAAACATTCTAAACATGTAAGTTAAAAACCCATGCAGTGTGTGATTAATTAGCCATGTGCACATGCATGCACACCTAGTGCCCCCAAAATCAGCATGGCAATACCTCTGGAGAGTGGAGATTCTCTCCCTACTTCCCTACTGTGCAAGTAATCACCATCAGAGTGTCTGTAAAGACATTTATGTTTAAAATATGCATTTATGTTGCATTTGTGTTTAAAATCTGAAGGAATTTTAAAGGGAAATGGGGGCAGGCAGGTTGGTACAGTTCACATGGTGCATGAGATGGGTACCTCAGACTGCAACAGGGATGAAGTGAGGGAGAACTGCTCACAAATACCTAAATATCCTCTAAATTATATTCTATAAAGTTCCTTTCAGAGCAGCATTTGATTGTATTCAGCTTACCTGGCTTTTGGGGAAAAAGGATGTAAATAGCATGGAACCTGCCAAATAATTTCTGTGGATATCCAAAGCCAAAGAAAAATCTGATGTCAATTGTTATCTTGCTGTAATTGTTATATTGCTTATTAGGAGAAATCCACCCTTGCTAAACACAGATAGCAAAAATAATGCCATTGCATAGCTGGTCATACAATGCCTAGGAATTGTAAAATGTTTAACTGTTGTGCAACCACCTTGCCTTTATAAAATCCATGCACACGTGACTGTGGAAAGAGGTTAGTACATGCCTGCCAGGCAAACTGTGAGTAGGAAGGAGACAGTTCATTGGCCCGTTCATTGGGCTTAATGTTGTCACCATGTTAATAATGAATGGTGACAGGTGAGCTGCTTCACATCTCTGCAGCAACAAGTCACTACTCAAAGGTTCTATCCCCTGCTTTATGTCACAGCAGCAGAGACAAAGGCAAAAATTATCAGAAGCTAGAGAGAACTTTTATTTGAAAGATTATGTAGGGAATGGTTTTCTCCATCCTGGGCCTCGAGGTTGTGAATTGCTGAGACTGAGCTTACACAGCATTAAGTACTACTCTGTACCAGGAATGCCCAAAGGGAAAAAGCACATTATTATTTCAGAATACAACTAGTTTGTTTCTTTGACAGCTTCCAGCATATCCAGTCTCTGTGTGGAGCCCCTGTGGGTGCTGTGAAGTCCAGACCTTGTCAATGTGCCCAAATGAGTCCAAGACCTACCAGCTGTGGGTGAATTTGCACCAACAGGATTTAGATTTCAGAAGAAGCATAGGTGGTAAGAACTGCAGTACAAAGGATCTGTCACAGGTGTCAAGAGCACTTTTAGACCCCCAGAAGGGCCAAATCTGGTAGGTGTACTTAGACCACACCTCACCCACTGGGACAGCAGAGTTTAGCGTAGGCCAATTAATTACTTTCACTCTTAAATGCTGAAGAAGGGAGGTGCAATTGTGTTTTGTGCAACAGTATTTCCCAATGTTCTTGCCTGAGTTGTAAGAAAGGTGAGACCTCTGTGCATTGCCATTTCCCAAGAGTGTCCCAGTTGCCAGGCAATGTGCCTTTCACCTAAATTTCTTATTGAGATGCACATCAAACACCATTATCCAGAAGGATAAACAAAAAGGAATCTGATTTTATGCTTAGCATATATATAACCTTCTGGGAGGGAGAGGCATGGGGACATTGGGAAATGGAAATCCACAAAGAGTTGTTGGATAAAATGAAGAAACAGTTTGGAAGAACCAGAGAGAACAGAACATGGAATCAGCTGCTTCTGATGTAAAGTGTAACACCAGACTCAAAAATGAAGCTCCCTCCTGCTTATTCTAAACAGTTTCCGAAGTCAGGTACCAAGCCTGAGCCATTTCCTTTGCATGTCATGGACTATGCATGCTAAAGCCCTGGGGTTCTCTGTCTTTAGTTTCATTTTATTCTACAATTCAAGGTCAGCTCATCCCTTATATTATTGTATTAGTATTTAGGAAAAAAAAATCACACACTTATTTTACCCACACTGTGATTTTTCAGAATGAGAATCTGCTGCCTTCACAGGCTAAGCAGACTGCTAAAAACACTGTTCCCGCAGGTGACATCACATGAGCTGTGCTTTACAGATATTTTTGCTTCAGGTTAAATCTTATCACTAATTTTTTGTGTTTGGAAAAATATGTTAGCTCCAGAGGAAGATCCTAGAGCTCACAACAGAACAGAATGGGCTGCTGATGTCCAGTCAGTGCTACTAACACTGACACCATGAAGTTCAAGTCTAGTTTTCATCAGCTGGAATCGCATTTCTACCTGGAACGACATCTGTACATAGAATCTTCCTGAAAAACAGAGACTGCAGCACTGCCAAGAGGCAGATAAAAAAACCAAACAAAAAAATCTGCTGCTGCAGGAGAAGAGCCATTGAGGAGGATGAGGCAAGAACAGCTCTCAGACCAGGCTGCAGCTGCCTCTGGCTGCACTGGACACAAAGGTGCAATGGCAGCAGCATCCAAAATCTGCCATCACAGGTGATGAAACGTCTGTAACACTGATCCTTGATTTCAATAAAAGTCTGAAAAAGTAAGCACAACAAAGCACAACAAAGCAGGAATCTGAGCAGCTTGGAAGATGATTACCAAGAAATGCTGCATGAGAACTCACAAATAATAAAGACTTGCCTGTAATCAAAAACCAGAGAGACAGAACAAGTTTTTGTCCTCCTGTAAACTGCCATGACAGTGATCTATCAAGTCATAGTTCTGCTGTGATGGGCACAGCCTTGTTCCTGCAAATGTGAAAACCACTTATGCAAGGCTCTCGCACAATGAATTGTTACTGTCTAATTGTATGGTAGAGTTACCACATGTTTTCATCTTCCTATTGGTATTTTTAAGCTGGATTATGAGCCATGACGAGAACAGCTAATCCTGTGCCTCTACTGTCATAAATCCGAAAATCTGAGAAAGGAGGAGGAGGCCACAGCTGGTTCCTTCTCAGGCTCCTACCAACACAGCAAGATGGAACTTCTCCTGGCCATTGTTCTCACTGTTTTGACTGCTATTGTGGCAATTTCTTTCTATTATGAACACCCCAAAGCAGAAATTCCTCATGGAATCAGTGAGCGCCAAAAGCTTTATCTTCTTCATTACATCATGAACTTTGGGCTTGGTCTGGTAAGTTAAACTTAATTAAAGGCTTGAGTTTTTAATTCTATTTCTGTTAGAGGGATAATGGTTTGGTGATGTTTTTTAGAATCAATGTTTAAATAAATTGCAAATATGCAACTGGACTGATTAGGTGATGCAAACACATTCCTTCAGCTGTGCTGGGCATAACAGACTCCCCTCTTTGCTATACAGCACCAAAGGCAATATTTGTGAAAAATAAAATTGGGCAGACTGTGCAATTCCCAGTTTTTTTCTGACAGTTTGTGTTTTAGCTTTTCATGCCTGCTGCCTCAAGGCACTGCTGGAAGGCTTAGAAGGTAACTTGCCTTGTGTATGTGGAATTTCTGCTCTGTATAACACTGTGCTTGCTTACAGAGTGAGCAGCTGAATGACATCCGTGATCTCAGCTCTCTCCTACAACCCTGTCACTCCCCTCCTGAGATATCTGAAGAGCTGCCACATCCTTTGCCTTTCAATGTGCCTGAACAACTTTCTTCTTTGAGACAGTACACGTAATACCTAAAGTGTCTTTCTGTGTCATTGTTTTTGGCACATTTTTGATTCTTCCTCGCTTTTCATCCTTGTTTCTTTTCAAAACTAAAACATGACATGCACTTGTCTTTCTGCTTCATCAATCATCCTGTCCTGAATTAACTGTTGCCCCAGTCATTTAAAAAACCCTTCTGTGATACGTAGACTAAGCTTCTTTTAGTTGTTTAAATTGTGAAAAAAACCTGTTCATTCTCTTTGGCTTGATCATTACATTTCTCTTCAATTCTATGTTCTAATGTTGTTAATTCTTCCTTTCTTTCCCTGCCCCGTTGCTTAATAAGTTTTGTTTGAAGTCAGTGAGCTCCCAAGAAGGTGACTCACTATGTCTCTGGTGCCACACCCAGGCCTCAACACTGCTTTGACAGCAAACCAATAAAATAGGATAGAAAGTGGAGTCAATTTTCTTACAAGTATTATACAGTGTATAAACTGTGTCATTACTCTTTATCCATCAAAGTTTTATTTTTGTGTAATTCATTTGTTAAAAGTGAAACTGCAGAATATAGAAATTTACTGGTGATTTATGTAATTTTTAACTTCTGATCTTACAATTTTGCATCCTTTCTGCTGGCCAGTGAGAGGCCAAGCACAAGCACTGTCACACACTGCCTGAAAGGAGCAGAGAGATAAGGACTTTAATGGAGGGTTAAAGCAAAGTTTAAATGCAAGTAGAGCTCAAGTCATGTAGCAACTCCTGCTATGGCTGTTGGGCAAATTACTTTTGCCAAGTTCTTTCAAGGGCTGACAAGCCATGAAGTCAAAACTGCATGGAAAATTAAAGTGTACAAGCATATCCAGTGTTCAGCTGGGACAAAAGGAAATACCAAAACACTGTGGTTGGTAAGGTCTCCTAGGACTCCTTTTTTTCAGTATTTTCAAGACAAAGATGATCTCCATACTCCATACAGATATAGCTAACTGCAGGTTTAACCTTTACTGTTACAAAAGTATTAGTGTGAGGAAAGAAAGTACCAGAGGGAAACTGAAGAATAAATAAGTAAAGTTCTTTTCCTACGGATATGGACCAGTTCTATATAAGGAATTGATATGAGACTGTAACTTTGCCACAAGACAATCCTTCCTGTGTATAGGATCAGCTCTTCAGATGACCTAAAACAGGCTACCTACACCAAATTTAACAGGATCACGTTACTGAGCCACATGAGGCCTGTGAAATATGACATGAAAACCAGAAGGGCAGGTCTTTAAGATCTATGCAGTGCAGACCTTTATATGTATAATTTTCATTGAAATGCATATGCATGAATAATGGCAGCACACAAACTGAATTACTCATTAGAGATGTCTGCTGTGGAAGTAGTGCAAAACTGAATCCAATATAGTGGAAATACAATGATACTGCCTCATATTTTTCATCTTGAGCAGGCTACAAGTGAAAGAGCTTAAAGCCATGCAGATGCAATGGAGTAGATGAGCCCACAGTGACATAAGAACCTTAGCCTCAGTGTTTAAGTAAGGATCAGTGAGCTGTGAGAAGATCAAGCCAGGGTTCAAAGCTATTCTTGGTCAGGAGGACAGAGATGTGGTAGATGCAATGCATTTTTTTTTTCCTGCAAGTTTAAACATAGTGTGAGTTTGGGAAACAAAAGTATTGGCTATGTTTATTCATCCAAAGCTAAAGTTTAAAATACTGTAACTACTCTCTCTGTATTTTGTTCAGGCACATGGCTACTGAAACACCTGACAAGGTGAAGTATTTGACACCTTTTATCTGCTATTAATAGTTTGACTGTTTTCCTACTTGGAGTAATTGACCATGGAGTTTAAAATTTTTCATTATCAATCTCCAGGTGAGGTAGAAATTTACACTAATTTGGTCTCTTGTGGTTTCTTTTATCACCAGGCAAAATTTTTGGACAAAGTAGGTATAATCTCAGAGGTCCGTCTCCTCAGAGTTATAATGGAGACAATACCACCATTAAAGGATACACGCCTTCTTATCAAGGACTTAAGGTTTGAAAGGGTTGAAGTGAGAATTTACCAGCCAAAAACATCAAACAATAACCTAAGGAGGGGAATTCTATATTTTCATGGAGGAGTTGGCCAGCTTGGAAGTATCCGTAAGTAATATAAATAATGAGTTATAACTACATCCAGAATGGGTCAGGGAAGGCACCACAGTAATAGAAATAATGTGAGTTAACTACGTCCAGCATGGGTCAGGGAAGGCACCACAGTAATAGAAATAATGTGAGTTAACTACATCCAGAATGGGTCAGGGAAGGAACCACAGTGGGTCATCTGGTCCCACCTCTCTCCTCCAGCAGGGCCATCCCACAGCACAGGGCACAGGATTGTGTCCAGACAGCCCTGGAATATTCCCAGTGAGGGACGCTCCACAACAGAGTTTCTGATCTGATTTGGTATATCTTAAGTTACAAGAGTTAGTAGGTTCAACAATATAAATTAAAAAAAAAAAAAATTCAGGACAGCAGAATCAATTTACTTACATGCAATAGGCATAATGTTAAATTGTCTTTATATAGATTGCATATCTAAAATAGTCTCTGATCATTCTTAATATCTATTTTCTTCCTCTTTATGAGAAAAGTTGAAAATCTCATTAGAATTTTATTTCTTATTTAAAGCACCCATTTTTTGTTCACAAGCGTGTGCAAGATTATATGTGTGTATTGTGCTGTGTGTCTTTATAGTGGAAAAACAAGGGAAAAACACATTTTGGAATTTGAATGGGAAAGAGATGAGATGGTGCCTCATGCACAAGAAATATTCTTTCACTGGATTTAGCAGATTTTTTGGTTTTTGGGGGTTTTTTAAACAATTTCTCCCCTTCAAAATCAATTTAAAAGTGGCAGCAGTGGTGCTGTCTGTAACTTTTCAAAGAAGGAACCAAAACAATGCACTGATTTAAATTCTAGGTTTCTTACTGGCCAGAAAATTCTCACAGCTGGAATGGTGAATGGTGAAGGAAATGGTGAGCAATACCCAGATCAGACCATGCCACATGCTACACATGTTGTGTAGCATTAACCATGCAATAGAGATAAGAATTTCAGTATATTTTAATTCCATTTATTTTTAAAGCAAGTTATAATTCCAGTGAACTGTTTTGTTTTATAGGGGCCTACGAAAGAATGTGCCGCTATTTCTGCAGGAAAACCAACTCAGTGGTGGTGTGTGTTGGGTGAGTGCACCCAGCCCAGGCACTCTGACCCTAGGCTGGCAAGACTTTACTGCACTCAAGCTCCTTGTGAAGTACATTCAGTACCTATACTCAAAGATCCCAGCACTAATTCACCAGCACTAATTCACCAGCACAAATTCTTCTCAGGAGGAATTAGTCAATTAATCCCCAACTGATTATTTCCAAATGAAATCCATTGCAGTAATTTTATAATTTGTAGCTAGCACTAAGACACGAGGATGTTTTTGTTTTCTAGAGCCATATTCAAACTACCTTATGCTGAAAGCCTGAAGTGTAACTGTTTCTCTTGAAAGCACAGTTGCCCAGAATACCAAATACTAATTTTAGAAGTTCTGAAAAATACAAGAAGCTCATGAGTTTAAAACAAGAGGTTACAAACCAAGCTCGACATATCCACCCTCAAAAGAAATCTATACACTTGACTCTTGAACCTTGACTGACTTGACTCTTGAACTCTTGAACTTTGACTCTTGAACCTTGACTCTTGAATCTCTTCCTTGACTCTTAAATTCTTCAGAAAGTTACACTTGCAGGCATGATGCATTTGCATGAAGAAATGGAAGCACGAAATCCACATTTAACTTGCAGTCAACCTGAGATGACCATTAAAAATATTTCTCTGATGAGCTGTAATACTTTTTTAAAAGAAACAATGCCTAAAAGTTCAGGCAAGGAGTTGATTACAATTGCATTAATTACTGTTTATATCCTAAAATACTTGAAGAACCAATAATTCATTGATTCTGTTTAATGAATTCAGCTTCCAGAACACTGAAAACCTTTCAGATTTTCATTATCAATTTTTATGCTCATATTTTCTATGCTCATATTCTCTAACAATTTATTGTTAAATGTTCATTTTCTAACTGGAATGAATGATAACTGATTGACATACCTGCCTTGCCGGCTAATTCCAAAACAACTCTCATGTGCCTTCAGCCACTTACAAGATATGTAAAGAAATATCTTGCAAAGGTAGAACAGTGTACTGACTCTCCCAAACATGAACAGTAGCAAATAATACATCAAAAGCACTAATTTGGATGAATTCTATTGCTGCAATTATAATCGCAGAGTATTTTCCTGTCTTTTGAGAGAAATAAATGAATGACAAGATTTCACTGGGCCCATTCACTAGAAATGACTGTGCTAAAACACTTTCACTCCTATTCAGGTATCGTTTAGCTCCTGAGCACCCCTTTCCAGCCCAGTTTGAGGACTGTCTCACTGCTGCCATCCACTTTCTGAGGACTGCACAAGACCATGGAGTTGACCCTTGTCGCGTTGTCATCTGTGGAGACAGCAGTGGAGGGACACTCACTGCTGCTGTTGCCCAAGCACTGATGAACAGAAGAGACCTTCCAAAGCTGAGAGCACAAATCCTAATATATCCTTTTCTGCAGTGTGTGGACTTCAATTTGCCTTCTTATCAGCAGAATGAGAGAGTCCCCATTTTGCTAAAGGAACGAACCCTTGTTCTTGGCTTGAAGTATGTTAATGTGGACTTGGGCCTCATCGAAGAATTTTTTAAAGGTTGCCATGTTTCAGAAGATCGGAGACTGAAATATCAGAAGTGGGTGAGTCCTGACTACATCCCTCATGAGTTTAAAACAAGAGGTTACAAACCAAGTCCAACATATCTACCCTCAAAAGAAATCTGTGAAATGGCTGAGTACGTGTTTGACCCTGTTTTTTCACCACTGTTGGCTGAAGACAGTGTTATTGCTCAGCTTCCTGAGACTTTCATTTTAACCTGTGAATTTGATGTGCTTAGAGATGATGGACTGCTGTACAAGAAACGACTGGAGGACCATGGTATAAAAGTGACCTGGTGCCACCTGCAAGAGGGGTTCCATGGAACAGTGTTCTTAGCAGTTTTTGGTAGGGTGGTAGGATTCCGGTCTGGAACTAAAGGCCTGGAAAAGATAGTCAATTTTCTAAGACTGACGTAAAAGTCCATTTCTTGCTTTCTTTTCCTGATTCCTATCTGTTTTTGCTTACAAACTTATTTTAAAAAATCCTCAATTTTCCTTTCCTTAAATCATCACCTTAAATTTCTGCATTGCATCTGTCTTCTTTCTACCCACTAAGATGACTGCATGATAGTTGTTGCTTGATTTTCTCTCAGGAGCAACAAAATCAGGTGAATTTATATTTCTTTCCTCTGCCAGCTCTTCAGTTCTCTCTTGTAGCTATTAAAGATCCCATCCTTATAGCATGGGGTTTGCAATGTGGTCAGGTTCAGTAAAGTTCTGGTACTATTAGAACACAAACCACATTTGAAAACAACCTGGGGCAGGTAACAGGGTGTGAATCTACAGGTATATAAAGAGTATGGTCAAAGACTTAAGAAAGCCTGTATCTGGTGAGAGCTCAGTTTGAGACAAGCTTAAAGAGAAATGATTGTAGCAGGAAAAATGTAAACATACACAGAAATGAAAGAAGGGGAAGAGTAGGAGAGGAAGTGAGGGAAAGGGCAGGCCTGGAACTACAGATGTTATAACAAGTACTGACTAAAGAAAACAAAATCTGTTAAAAAACTCATGCATACATTTTATATATAGATAATAGATACATGGGAATATAAAGTAATATCAGTTCCTTTACAAAGTGTAGGCTCACAGTCCCTGATACAGGAAGGACTCTCCCTTTGAGGGACAGTGTCAAGTGCCATTGGGGAGAAAAGATAATGATTGAGAAAATTTTAAAAAAATTTAAAAATCAAAGTTCAGGTCAGTCTTAAACTGTTTACAAGAAGACACAAATGAGCAAGGAAACCAATAAAAAATAAAATGGCATAACAAAAATGTAAAGCTATTCTCTCAGAAATGAACTCCAGTATTGCCAGAAGTGTCAGTAAATGTTTTACTTACACCATTCTGAGGTGAATGTATAATTGCAGAACAGTGTCATTGTTTCAGGTCTTGTTATAATCTTATGTCCTGAATTAAAATAACTTATCATGTCACTAGACTCTATTGTCTTAAATTCTTCAGTAAGTTCTACTTGGAGGCAGGATGCATTTCCACGAAGAATCAAAACCAGGGCGAGGATGCAGTTTTACTGACAGTCAAAACTTCTGACTGTCTTTGTTTAAATTAACACCTGGAACACTACCCACACTGAAATTACCACCATTCTTGTCAGGGAAATTTCTAGCTCTATAATTTTCAAAGAATACTCTCTGTATCTGATATTACTGTATGTGTTTTCTGCCCCCCACTGGCTCATTTAAACTACAACCAAAAGCAAGATGCTGCAGACAGTTATGTAAGACACATGATCCAACAGAAGACACCCTACAACCACGGGAAGGGCTTTCCTGCAATGCTGTGCATGGCTATTTACATTCAGCATATGAGCGAAGAAAGCCTGGCAGAACAATGTGAATTACATTTAGTTACACTTACATAGGACTCAGGAAAAAGGGGAACTTTTATAGGGATCTTCCATATGGCATCTCTAACGGATACAGTGCAAATAATTACAAAGCTCAGAAAATCTTCTCCAGTGTTTTCCTGATTTCTAGGCACACACTAACACTGTTGGATGCTGTTTTTGTGCTGTTGAATGCACACTGTTGAATGCTGCCTGTTTTCCTTATGGGCAACCTGTGCCATGAATGCTCACGTGACACCAGTGGCAGTTTGTCCATAAAGTGATAGAGCAGTACTTTCCTGACATTAAAATATACAATGAATCAGACTAGCACAAAGGCTGACAGCTGTCAAACCTCTCATGGGCATTACACCCCAAAGACTGTACCATGGAGATACTACAGATATTTTTTTTTAAACCCAGAGAGCAATATTGATGAGTTTTGCCTATGAAGAACTTAGGAAAATACAATGTTGACAAGTAAGTTTCCTTAGCCGGGGCAGTTCCTTCCGACCTTGACAAAAACTACTAGTTCCTTCCACAAGGGAGGAGGGTGAGGTGCCTGAGGTGGTAATTCCCTCCAGAGTTTGCACCCTGAGTGAAGTGAGAGCCCAAGCTGCCCTCCAGACAGGAATAGGGTGCAGACAAGGCTGGTCCATGCAGAGCTATGAACCCCAGAGAAGGTGGGCATGAGCCACATTTCTTTAACTGGTCTCTAGAGTTTGCCCATGAGCACTGTAACACAAATAAAAGGATCCAGGAGCAGACTGGAGCACTGTCAAAACCTGAAAACTAGTGAGACACTGGGAAGCTCAGTGCAGCTGGGAGGGCTTGACACACTTTGAGCTGCTCTGTGTGACAGGAAGATGTTGAAGGAAATGAAGGAAGGGAAAGCAAACTGCCCTGCATCATTCCATCACCAGATGTCAGCACCAGCTGAGTCTGTAATAACCTGGAAAACCTCTTTGTGCTCTGGGCACACAATATGAGTACCTGAAACACATTACCAAAGGTCAAACTGTGGTTGGATTTCAATATTTTACTGAACTTGTTCTTATGCCTTCATAGCCTGAAGCTTTCTGTTTAATTACAGAGCACACATTAAGTCATAACAACTTTAGATTACCTGTTCTAACCAATCAAGTTTGGAGTGGTGTATTACAGAAGTTTACAACTTCAATTATCCTCTGCTTTGTTGTCTTCACACCACCTCATTATACCATACTAGTTACAACTCACATACCATAGATTTTTAAATAAACAGAAAATTAGAAAACATTCCAGATTTACTAGCTCTATTATTAAATAATGCGATTTATTTAAAAGCACTTAACACTATTCTCTGCCTATGACACCCATTCTCTGTACTGCTCAGGCAGAATCCTGCAAACTCTGGCTGTTTTTATTGCAGTTTTCCTTGTCTCAGTTATTCACTGTGTTTGCTGATTCCCATGAGAGTGCAGACAGTGAACCTGAATAGCTGGAATACTGAGACTCAGACAAACCTGGCCACGGGTAAAGAAGGGCAGTTGAAGTTGTTATATTTACATTCAAGCAACTTCTTATTTAATAAGTTTCATTTTGATGTGATGACCTGCCATGAAATCCCAAGTGGATGTTCCAGAGCAGCTTTTTGGAATCCATATGTATGGAGCAGAATTCATTCACTCTGAGGAACAGAACTGCACAGCAGCAGAGACACAGACACCCAACAATCCATCCACATTTCCCAGTGCTGCTCTACAAAACCCTTCAGTTGAATAAGCATTTCAAAAATGTACCTGCTCTGAACTGCATAACACAAGATCTGAATTTCCTGAATGCTGATACACAACATTAGTCTTTTTTTTTTTTTTAATACAGTACAGCTTTTTACTCCAGAATTTGTTAGCAGCTGTTTAACCTAGGAGTCATTTGGACGGGACAGACTTCAAAGAAGAGAAGGAAGAAAGAAAAGGCTAAAAGAAAGATTTATGCCAGACTAAATGCAAGGTGTCTTTCTGTTGCAAAAGCAAAGCATACAGGAACTAGCTACTTATTTGGGTGGGGAGATGGAGATAAAGAGAAGGGAGGACACTGAAAGGTAGGTAGGAGGCAGCCTAAATGCAGAGGTGGATGAAGCAAATACACAGCACCTTTAAAGACCAGTATGGTACACATGTACTAAGCTGTAATTTATTAAAGCTTCTTATTGTCACTGTGAAGGGCATATTAAATCCATCTCATGGATCAGAAGACTCAGGCTTACAGGTATGAAAACCTTTGAGATGCTTTCAGTCAGTTGTTCACATAATGTGAAATGAAGAAATGTGAACTGAAGTATGGCAAGTTCCTCCCATGCTCTAAGTGGTAAAATCAAAGTCAGTTGAAGTACTGTACAGATTCTAATTTTTCTGCTAAATTACCTAGAGAAAATAAGAATAATTTTAAAAAGCAAGGCAAATTCTATTTACCAGTGTTTCACTGTGAAATGAACACTAAAAAAATAACTCTATCAGAAGCTATTATTTCTGGGTTTAAGTTTTCTTTGTAATATGTTATTTTTTCTTGTTTTCTGCTCCCTGGCTGTACCTGCTGGAATCGATATCTCAGTCATCAGAGCTGACTACTTTACAATGCTTTAGTTACTCATCATGGGATTTCCTGTGTTGCACAGAGAAGCTCTGCAATAGTCAACTGAGTCCAGGTTAACAGTGGTGGAAACAGCCTGCAATCACAAGTGAAATGTGTTGTAATGTTTTAGAGAAAGACTTCACAAGAAAACCAATAACTCACGACTGTCACAGAATTCATTGGCACCAACTCCCCTGAGAGCTCCTGCCTTGCACAATGTTGGGTTGGTCAGCTCCTGCCTCTTCCACTAACAATTAAGGGGAAGTTGATGAGTTTTATACATTCTCAGCCTACAAAGCTATGTGTGATACCACAGCTACAGAAGCTTTAGAAAATCCACAAAGCTGAGTCTTGGGAAAACCTGCAACGAGCACATTTCTTTGGGTAGGTGTCATTATTGTATTGCCCCTTCCCATCATTACTATAACTATTAGAAATATGCTGAAAAATCAAGAAGAGAATGAATTTTAGAATGCATAAATGGAGGCTTGTTGATGAGAAAATGGGAAGATTTTACCCAACTATTGTCAATTCTGTACTCATCAAGTGCTACATTAACCAATTAAACTCCAGCAACACCAAGTTCAATGAACAAAGAATCAATTTGTGAGCTCTGAGTAGCTGTTTTATAGCAATAAAGAACCACTTGAGGCCCATAATTCTCATTACAATGTCAAACTCTACTCTGTGTTCATTTTCTCTGGTTTAGTGGAATCTCATCAACCTTTAGTTAGTGCACGGCTGTTCCCATCAATAGGTAAAGACTTTGTGGAAGTTGGGGTTTGGGGATGAGTTTGCTGAAAAACAAAAATTTGTTTGGCTGTTGCAAAACACACTAAACACCCACCATTGAAAGAACTCCATCTCCACTGCCAGATAGAGAAGAAGCCTTTTTGTTTGCAAAGATACAAGGTACACATTTCATGCAGTGGATTCAAATGAAATAAAAACATTCTTTTGA